ACACGTAGTGGGATTTGATCACATACTAACCTATAAGGTCTTCCTGATTGGAAGTAGTCGTAAATAAAAAATATGGCAACATTCATCGAAATATGTGTTGTGACAATTGTTTTGGGTAAATTGTATATCTAACTTGATTTCAACATCAAAGAAATAATACTTACCTAATCATTATTCTATCGTGTAAACTTGTTTATTTCTATTTTCAGGCAATTAAATTAGTGGTGAATTAGCTACATCTACCGTGATAGTCTGTCAAAATAAAGGTGTTTTGGAACTGAATTGCTTCGACAAGTCTATCCATATAGTATCAGCAAACTACGGACGTACTGGAGACGATAGTACCTGTTCATATCATCGCAACCATGTTATTGACACCAATTGTTATGCAGCAAACAGTCTATCAATAGTGCAAACTTATTGTGATGGCGTCAGCACATGTGGTGTGTCATCTGCTACAAATGTTTTCGGAACAGATCCATGCCCCTTCACTTACAAGTATCTTGAAGTGGAATATGTATGTGTATAGTAAGTACAGTATTGTGTATTTAAATCAATTTACAACACATTTACATCAAAACGATAAAAGTTTCAAATCACTCGTTATTAATAGCATAGCAAAACACACTACCCCAGTTTCCGCCGTCTGTTTTTCTACATTACTACCGAAAATACACTAGTACATTTGCTATTAATACGATTTTCATGCGCTCCGATATTTGACGTGGCGTGTTGATTTGTCATATTTTAAATAAGTAAATTATTTATTCACGTCATTCAAACACCCATATTTGTATAAGTAACCGAAAACCAATCTCACAAATCATGTCGAATCTTTGGATCAATTTTCCGTTTTATGTTTCGCTAAAATATACCACAGAATAAGCGAAAAGTTTAATATTTTCATTCTGGATGTTTGTATTGTATTCAAGAAATCTATATTTTGCCGATTAGTCAAAGTTATTTATTGGCAAAGCACATAATTTGGAAAGCAATGCAGTAAGGTCACTAATGATTATAAGTGAAAGATTACAAGATCCAATTAAACACGCGAAATTACATTACAATATATCTATAATTATTCTCACAGCATTGGGTGACGCATTCTCATTTTAAGGCGATGTATAATAAACATAATATCACTATTAAGATGTTGGTGTCACTGGATCAAATTGTTTATTTTTTTATAAATGTGGCCGAGGCAATATGTATTGCAATGTTTTTATTTCCCATTATCATTATAAAACATTTATTTGCATTCCTGCTCCCTCATATAAATTCTTTCTTTGGTCGCTATAAAAAGATATGTTGTTATAAAATGGTATATTCGTCTTCTACTTCATTCTTTGAACATAACATTCTTTTCTTTTTTTCCTGTTAGTAGTTTTGGTTCAGTATGCCTCCCTTTTTTATTTTGAGGTCATGGTTACTTAAACGGAAGCGATAGATAGACTCTCGTAGATCAATATTTGTTAGCAATGTTAAATATGTTTTCATTTCAAACATTTTTTGAATTCTTTGTATGTCCTCAGTTTGTTTTTCCATGGCTTGATATTTTTGGCGATATCTGCATTTATTTCTTTGCTCCTATGACGAATGAATATTGTTTTTGTCAATTGTCTTTGTTTAGTGCTTGTAATTGTAGTACCTGTATCGAATAATTGCGCTTAATTATTAAATTACGCAATACTATTTACTATTTAGTTATCTATTTATTTATTAACGATGCTTCTTTCACAAATACGTTTGGTGTGTTCATTATTCGGTTATTTCTTTTTAATTTACAGTAAACTTGCATTGGAGTTACTGTATATGGTTGATGACGACAACGCTGAAGAAAAACTAAACTTTTAGATAACGATATCACGGTGTGTTAGACTAAATAACGTTCCCTTCATATCCAGCGTTTCAGTTAGTTTCAGTAATATTTAGCTTATGTTTAACATTATTATATTATTATTCAATATTAAAATCCAATTATCATTACTATGGATCGGAATCGAGTTTGTTTGTCTATGAATTAATTCAATGAGTCTGTACTAACATACTGTTAGGTATATGCTGTGCACTACACCCAACTTGTTGTGTCTTTACATGAAGGAACTGATTTATAGGGTATGTCAATCTATACTTTGTATGCTCTACAGAACGATTTTCGCACTGATGCATGTAAGCACCGGAAGTCGTTTAAGTTTGTACGGTTCATGGGAACTCGTATTCACCAAAATCTTGATGTTTGACTTTGATCTTGATGATTGATCCCGAAAATAGTGTAGAGTGGTTCGAGTGATTTGTCCCCGGTCCAACTGACTTTAACATTATTCCGGTTGCTCACACTAATCAGTGGGAAGTGTTCTGTATGTAATGCAAAGTTGGCATGTAAGTATAAAGAGCATATTTAGTATTGTAATTACGAAGTGGTGCTGTAAACATTCCCCAAGCAACTAATCAAGCGAAGAAGAACATAGCAGCGCACCTTGAAACCACGTTCAAATAAAAACGGATTACGGAAACTTTTACCTTTTTAATTCGAAATCGCTACTTGACAGGAATATACAATATATAAATAAAAAGTCTGATAAAATCGGTATTCTCCTCTATACTGATAACATAAACTCTCAGACAATTGTGGTTTACGAGTTGAATTTGAAAAATTTGATAAAACAGCTATTATTATCTTCATAATCAGGATAAAAATACAAAAAATGCGATATATCTTCGTGAATGCACAGCACACTTCAACAAAAATGTAAATATAGATTTATAAATTCACGTGTGTTGGACATTACCATGTGTCCCTATTTTGATAAATTATAGCATGTCCTTGATTCTAAATATTTACCGACATATGGTTTCACCATTTAAGCAGATATTATAACATGGACATGGATTAATAGTAATCCATGGCTTGAACTCCATAGGACGTCATTCAGTGTTACTATGGTAAAATTGGATTTGTATTTAACTTTGCTAGATTGTGAATCATGCAATACTTCAGTTTACTTTTGCCATCGGGAGTACAGGAGAGTACCAGATATTCCCCTCGCCATTGTAAAAGCCTATCACCCTATTTTTTGCAGCTTGACGACCTCACCCAATATAACCTGAACCTGTACCAGACCCATGTTAGGCTGGGTTTCGACTTGATTTGAATTAAGGGGGGGGGGTAAGATATTCAGAGCATACCCAGCAGAGTGTTGCGAACTGAGGCGTTTGTCGATTTTAAGGAAAATTCTGAACATTTTGGTCAGGGATTGACCACCCCTCCATAAACCCTTCTGAATGAGCAGTTGCTTACACAATTACAGCATTTATTAAAACAAGTAAATGTGTACGTGTGAATTTGAGCTGGATTTACAGACACGAGGAATTGAATTACTTTGAGGTCAATTTATGTATAATCAAGATTGCTTTCCCTTGGCACCAGTATGCGTCTAGGGAACCATTAGACTAAACTTTATATAGATTTATAAAAGCTAGTGATGCTGGAACATGTTGGTATGTGCAGTATGTAGAGCAATAAATAAGAGAGTAAGTAGTCGAACCATTAAAATATTGATCTTCATCAGTAATCTCTTCACCACAATCTAAAACCAACTTCCAATGATGCTACAGTGGGAGCATCCCAGACAATCAGCATTCCCTGGGCAAAGCTACGGAGCCCAAGCATTGTGACAAATGGCTGGCAATAAACTTAACCTTCTCATAAATGAAGGAAAAAGTTCGCGAGTCATATTAAATCGAGATGATAAAATAGAGCCAAACTGGATTGAGATTGTATTTGATAAGGCTTTGCCAAGAGCCAAAAAACAAGGATGCAATGTAAACGCCTTGTCACCAATACTCCCAAACACCGCAGTCAATCTGACCAAAATTAATAAAAATGGTGCCACCCTTAAATGCAATTACCACAATGTGACGCATTTTGTGTAATTTGATATTTATAGACGTGTGTATTTTTTTTGTATGCCAATAGACGCTCACGAGAGGGCGTTAGTAATGATCGAATTTACAGGAGCTTAAGGAGTCTTTGTCCACTATAAATGTAGGTCACAGGTCAATTTCAATTAGTCGTCTATTATCAGAGTCTGGACACATGGCTAATCACCAACACCTTGCCACGTGGAGGCATGCAGTTGCTTCGTTACGAGTTCTCAAAGACAGATTGTTTCACGTCAAGCCGAATTGAAGACAATGTACAGTTTCACTATGTTCCATGGACGTTTGTAAGAACTGCATCCTCTCTCTCAGCAAGATTTACAAGAACGCACTGCCGTCCAGCAATCG